TGCAAAAAAACTCAGTTTTCCAAGCAGCATCTTTTAGAGTGAATCCTCGAAGGTGGATTTCAACGCGATTTGACCTTATACGGTTACTTTTAGCAGCTTTGACAGCGCAGTTTTTTTTAAATAGATGTTTTTATTTTTGAAAGAAGTAGAGAAATAGACCAGTAAAAACATTTGACCGACCTTGTGTCGAACCGGTGTCACAACAAAACAAACTAGAATCCGGCCCATTCAGTGCCTTATTCACTTGTGCTAACAAAGCAACGGCAAGAGAATAGCGTAATAAATTATACGAATAATAAAACTTGTATCGGATCGAACAACTAGCGGCAAATGCCATGCTTCGGTGACTTCATCGTTTAGCAAAACAAAAGGTTTCTTTTTTTCGTTCAACAAAAGATCTCCAAAAGATACCCTTGGTAACTGAGGTTGAGACTGTAAATGAAAATTTATGATTGTGTTATTAAATCAACATGACAACCATTCTAATACAAATTGTGCAAAAATACATTTGATCTGTTGCTTCTCTTGAAATATTTTTTTCTGTGTTAAAAAAGTCAAATTCAACTTAAGGAGGCTGGAAACAGTTTTGAGCACTTTCCAAGATTGGGATGGGTCTTTATAACCACTCTTTATCAACTGATGCTACAATCATGATATCAAGAAACTGATCATTCAGTCGTTGGTTAGCATGTTTTATCATTTTTGTGATACAATGTGTTATCATGACAACATTATGACCCCTAATTTTAGCTTTAACTGCTAAATTGACCTAAAAGTGAGCTCGGAGACCTCCATTATTTAAATTATCAATTTTAATTAACACGATAAGACATCAAAGCAATGGGTTTAAAAAGATTCTGTGCATGGGGTTCAGAACCACCTTAAATTTTCGAAACACGTCCAGTTCAACCACTGGCCTCATTTCTGTACTGGCCAGGGATGTCCTGCTTCCAGAAATTAGACAATCGATGGCACTTGTTTTTCCTATAAACACCTTTCTTATTGGGCACCACTGCCATCTTGGAAAGTTTGTAACAGATGAGAAAATATGGGTAACGACTGTTGAGATCAAGTGTACTTAAGGCATCTGTTAGCCAAGTATCGGTCGATACTATCGGCCGATATGTCGACCAACAGTCGGCCGACATATCGGCCAATACTCAGTCGATATGTCAACCGAGAGTCAACCGAGTGTCAATCTACATGTTGTTCAAGACGGTCTGTCGACACTATCTGTCAGTGGTGTATCGGTCAACTGTCGGTGGTATCAGTGTATTGTTTACCATTGTTTTGCTGAAATAGCAGCTGTCTCCTTACCCACAAGGGGACGCAAAAGAAGAGTCTCTATCACGCATGCTCATTTGTTGATAGAGCGAGGATGCAGCTCAAACTGCCATTATTTCGAATACATATCTAACACTGGAATGCTGCGATAAATCTAGCAACTTTCATTGCTCCGGCTTACGAATGAATGAAGGAATGAATAAATGAGGAAATGCAGAAGAAATGTGACTAACAAATCAACGCTGAAAAATCAATAGTAGTTGACAGCTGAAGCAACTACTGCTAAACAGTTACTGTAAACTTGTGAAAGAAAAGACCCCCCGAAAGTAGCAACTCACCAAAAGTAACAACAAAAAATTGTGGCCGCTATTAAATCCCTGTAGTAGCGACCCCCGAAAGTAACATGCCCTCCGAAAGTAGCGAGCCCACCCTCAACAAACCCACACCACCTAGAAAAGCGAGTCCCAGGTTCAATAGCCTATTTATTTTCCACTGATCAATAGTCAGGTGAAAGTTACGTATGATAACTTGATTTAAGGCACTCTACAACAAGGGAAGGTGTTGCTTTTGCCATGAAGTGTTGTGAAATATCACAGGGTTTAGAAATGAAAAACTTATCCATGCGCAGGAAGAGAGCGTAGTCATACCAACTTTTTATATCACTTTTTTGCTCCCCGAAAGTAACGATCTTCCAAAAGCAACAAGCCCCAGAGGCTGCTACTTCCGAAAGTAATGAGGGTCATATGTAAAGGTGGTGAAGAGGAAAAAACATAGCTGGAAAAACAGTCTTTGATATAGATGAATGTTGCC